GAATTATTCAGTAATCAGTTTTTAGCTAACAAGTCCAAAGTGTGCTTCAGATTAGTTTTCAGCAATCAGAATGGACTTGAAAATCTCCTGGGCTTTCAGATCAGCCCTTCTTATGCCATTGGACACTTGAATCCACTAGTCTTTGTGAATGGTTGGACCTGGGCTTCCTCTCTTGGACTAGAACTCTGAGAAATCAATATAGTAATAGCCATAGAAATTTGTGGGGAAAAAAAGTATGAAGTGTTCTAGGAAACATATAACAGAAGTAGCTTTATTGTTCGAAATTTGAAATTTTCCTGATTTCCTTTTCTTTGTTCTTTTATGGAGACAATAAATAATAACAGCAAAAATGCTCTCAAAGTTCAGGCATACTTTCTGAAGTCTTTATTTGCAAGGACTTTGAGGAATGAGTTTACAAATGTCTCTTTTTGTAGAAAATATCTTGAGCAGAAAAAAACAGTATCATCTTATCAAAATGGACGGTGACCATACATTTTATCTCTTGTGAATTTCTCCTGCATCGAGAGTTAAGATTCACCAACTTGGAAAGAAAAATGTATTCTGCACCAGGAAAAGACAGAAATGCGGTAATGTTTTTATTTTCTTCTGATTATCTCATCTACCCCTCTGTCCCCTATGTAGAATCATTGGCCATCAATTTTCAACACTTTCTGTCCTTCCTTATCTCATGAGGCATTTTTTTTTACCTCTAGTTCTCTATTGTACTTGCCTTCCCCTGGCTCTGCTCTTTCTTTATGTTTTCTCTCTGGTGTTAGAAATATTTTTGATCGACCCCTCAAAATAATTTCTCTTATTCCTTTTGGGAAAATTAAAAATTTGGTTTGCAGGAAAACGAAAGAGAATCCAGTGATTAGCACTTAGACTGTATTCAAAGGTGTACTTGTTAATAAATGAATCCCTCACCCCTTCGCAAGATAATTATTTTTAGTTCTTATCTGCATATTGGCCAACTGAGACAAACGTTTCCATTTACCTTGCTATATTTCTTGTGTCTGGTGCTGCACGTGATTATTATTTCAGAAAATTGGAAGTTTAGAGAGGCTTATACCTGTGAACTATCTATAGCAATTTGAAAGATAGAGACATCAATAATAGATGTGGGATATTTCCTGACTCAACAGAAACCTCTTTGACCAGCCAACAAAAAAGGCTCATAAACATGTTAGTGACAGTTGTCCTTTCAATCCTTAATTTTTTCTGATGTGTGTTGCAGTTCAGAATAGAACAAAAGTGATTGCATTGGGACAAACTGTCTTGCTGACGAAGGTTTTCTCCAGTGCCATTTCTACATCATCATTTCATGGAAGTTCAGGGTGCCCAAAATTTTACTACCTCCTAATCAGATATATTTTTGTGAGAAGCAAGATTCTAGATTGTTCTCTTCTGGAGTCTCATTGATTTGCCTGTGTATTCACTTATCCATGCACTAATTTTTAAATAACACAGTTTGTGCAATCTCTTCATCCAATTATAACGTTAAGTGTCTGCCTCTTTCTGGAAAGAGAAAGTGTCTCTTCCGAAGCTTTTTCTTGGAAATTATGTAATCTATAAACTAACTCCGCCTAATTGTGATGATATCCAAAGCATAAGGTAGTGGTTTCCTTCGAGTGGTCTTTAAACTTGCTTACAGTATGAATTAATGAAGCATAAATAACATTGAAATTGCTATTCCAGGTTTATAATTTTATTTTAAGGAAGCAGAGCAGTAGTGCACTCGTAAGGCACTCACCATGAAAAAACACAGCTGATGAGGATTCAGTCCCCAGACCCCATATGACCCCTTGAGTCCCACTAGTAGTGATTCCTCAGCACAGAGCCAGGAGAAGCCTGAGCACTGTTGGGTGTGGCCCAGAATGCCCCTACCCCTGCAATAAGTTATATTAATCACCACTATGACTCCTCAACTCACTCTATACCCTTCTACCTATGTTATAGCCGACTTCCGGGGAGTTTCCAGGTTCATGTTTCACAAGATTTTTGCAAGCTTTTTATGCTTTGGTTTTCAGTCTTTCACTATTTGAAACGGGGGAAAAGTCTCCAAGTTTTAAGAAATGTCTTATTCTACAAGGAGGCATCACTGTATCACTGTATCACTGATGTTATCCCATTCAATGTCCATCAACTTACTCGAGCCGGTCCCAGTAAGTCTCCATTCCTAAGAATCCCAGCCCTGAGATTTTAGCAGCCTCTCCTTACTCGTCCTTCCCAACGGTGCCATATTGGAGGCTCTTTCAGGGTCAGGGGAATGAGACCCGTTACTGTTACTGTTTCTGACATATTGAATACTCCACGGAGAGCTTGCTGACTCTGCAATGTGGGCAGAATACTCTCAGTAGCTTGCCGGGCTCTCCAAAAGGTACATAAATATTTCTCTCTCTGATTTGTTGCCTGCTGTCAGAACCCCATCAAATATGGTGTGGTAATTTTGGAAAATGGGTAAGGAGGGTCTTATGATGTGTCCAGGAATATGTTCACTCGTATAAGAGGCTTGACCTGAGCGTGTGAAAAGTGGCCTGGAGCGTGGTGTCGGTTGAGTAGTGGAGGCTGGCTGCTGGGGGCCCGCAGCTGACAAGGAGGCATTCCATTTGTAAATGAGTGAAATGGAAGAGTGTGATGATTTACAAAATAAAGGCAATTAGATTGGCACCCTTGATCTCTGTCTTGCAGGGTCACAAAGAAGGGTACAGATCGACAGTTGTGGTATGTGCAGGTTGCAATAGCCTCCACAGCCTGTATCAGGGTGAAAATTGATCATTTACTGAACACAATTTCTCCTCCTCCACCTTGGCACCTTCCTCCAGACGAGCCATTGTTTCCAATTATTATAGAGCTGGAGCAATAGCACTGCGGTAGGGTGGTTGCCTTGCCAACGGCCCACGTGGCCAACCTAAGTTCAATTCTTCTGCCCCTCTCGAAGAGCCAAGCAAGCTACCGAGAGTATCTCAACCACATGGCAGAGCCTGGCAAGATACCCGTGACGTGTTCAATATGCCAAACACAGTAACAACAAGTCTCATGATGGAGACGTTACTGGGCCCGCTCGAGCAAATCGATGAACAGCAGGAGGACAGTGCCACTGTGCTACAGTGCTATCGAGCACGTGCATAAGGAGTTAGCGGGTAGGGATATTCACGTAACCATGGCCATAGGGTGATACACCAACAGCAAGCCAGTGCAGTATTAAATTCTGGTCACTCTTTTTCTGTTCTATCCTGGGGACAAGTTTTCTGTCCTCATAGTAAGCTAGATACTAAAGCACTAAAGTATTCTATTCCTGCCTGGGTTCACAGTTGCTGTCCTCATTTTAAATTAAATTAGACTCGTTTTTTCAGGAGAGTTTCCCTTCCTAGGGGTTACTATTAAGAAGACAGTTTCCTATAGGAGAGGAATTTGTCTTATTTGCTGCCTGACAAAATTATATGAATTTCCCACTCCTATTTTCACTCTGAAAGTATCATTTTGCCAGTATTTCATTCTGCCTGTATTTTATTTTGCCAATGATAAAGTATTCTCAGGATGAACCCAGATCACTGAAGTAAGAGCTGTGAGTAAAACAAAAATAATAGTAGTGGGGCTGGAGTGATAGCACAGTGGGTAGGGCGTTTGCCTTGCACGTGGCCGGACCCTGGTTCAATTCCCAGCATCCCATGAACACAGCCAGGAGTAGTTCCTGAGTGCATGAACCAGGAGGAACCCCTGAGCATCACTAGGTGTGACCCAAAAAGCAAAATAATAATAATAATAATAGAAAATGCAACTGCCCTGTGAATAGAAGTATTTAGGTCACTTGAAGTAATATCTAAAATGTAGTTTTTCTTTTCCTTCTTTTTACAATCAAGGAATGTGATAATTTCAACAAAAATTTTCTAACATCACCCTAATCCCAAAATCTCACCGTGAAATTCATACTTACTTGTCTACTAGGTCACTGAATTTGGGAAATTCATTGTTGTTGCTCAACTAAGTAAGAAATACAGGCAATATGTACCTGAAAATAAGAATAACGTTAATTCTGGGTGGCTGGGTAAATATTGACTGAAAAAATAATTTCTTTTGAGAATTTGAATGTGTAGTCTTGGTCTTGCATACAAACTTTAAAGACATGCTCAAGATAGTAAAGTCAGTGGTAGGATTATCCTGAGTCTACAACTGTAATCTCAGTTTTCAGGTTAGAATAGCAAAAGAGAAGGCCAAACTTTAGGAAGCAGATAAGTAGTTGATATTTTTAAAAGTCATATGGCACAAACAAGAGCTGAGTCTGAGTAAATCACACAAAGAAAGTGTCATGATTATGACCAAAGAATGCACTCACACTAGTCAACAAATTCTCGTGGCTGATTGTGTATGAACTGGAATATCTCTGTGATGCTTTAACCTCTAGCTAATTTCTTTTCTTCTCTTCTTTAAAATCCCCGGTCAGTACTTGTATTCACTTTCCCATTGACTCCATTTCAACATTTATTGAAAAATACATAAGCATTTAGATGAGAAACTGCTTCTTTGACCACACTAAACCTGTTTGCATGAATGCTTGATGGATGGAATTAACTGATTCCCATCCACAGCCATACTCTGCTTTTGCTCTGAAGGACAATTGCTATCAGAGTAGATCTACAATTGTTTTCTTAGTCTTTCTTCATTTTCTCCCTCTCGACTGGTTCATTATCAACAACTCACAAACAGATTCAATAGATTTTATAATAAAGCACCAACGACAGATTCTTTTCTTTTTCCAACAACAGAATCTTAAGACATTAAGAAAAACAATGCAGGTGAAAGGGAATTGATTTATGGATGGAATCCTGAAGAAAATATATAATTAAGAAAACTTAGATCCATGGGGAAAACAATCACTTCAGAACACGAATTTTTGAAGAAGTATGTCATTTTGTGAGTGGAGAAGAGGATCGAAACAGCTGGAATTAAGGAGAGGCTTCATCCCACTTATGTCTCAGCTTCAAAAGAAAATAGCAAAAGAAATGAAAAACCACAGTGTTATCTCAGAGTTCTTCCTCCTGGGACTCACTGCTGAGCCTCAGATCGAGGCTCTGTTCTTTGTGCTCTTTCTTATTATTTACCTTCTGACCTTACTGGGGAACCTGATGCTGCTGGTGGTGATCAGGGCTGACTCCCACCTGCACATCCCCATGTACTTTTTCCTAGGACAGTTGTCCTTTTTGGATCTCTGCCACTCCTCTGTCACTGTGCCCAAGCTTTTGGAGAACCTCCTGTCCAAGAAGAAATCCATCACCGTAGAGGGCTGCATGGCTCAAGTCTTCTTTGTGTTTGCCACTGGCGGCACTGAGTCCTGCCTCCTTGCTGTCATGGCCTATGATCGTTATGTTGCCATCAGCTCTCCTCTGCTCTATGGCCAGAAGATGAGCAGACAGCTGTGTCTAGGGCTGGTGTGGGGCTCCTGGGGCTTGGCTTTTCTGGATGCTTTCATTAATATTCTTATAGCTCTTGATTTGGACTTCTGTGGAGGTCAAAATATCCACCATTTCAGCTGTGAGTTGCCCTCTCTCTATCCTTTGTCTTGCTCCGATGTGTCTTCGAGTTTTACCGCCCTGCTCTGTTCCAGCATCGTCCATTTCTTTGGCAATTTCCTCCTCATATTTTTCTCCTATGTTCGGATTTTGTTCACCATCCTGAGCATCAGCTCCACGACGGGTAGGAGCAAGGCCTTTTCCACCTGCTCCTCCCACCTCACTGCAGTGATATTCTTTTACGGTTCGGGATTGCTCCGCTATCTCATGCCAAATTCAGGATCCACACAAGAGCTAATTTTCTCCTTGCAGTACAGTGTAGTCACACCCATGTTGAATCCTCTCATTTATAGCCTAAAGAACAAGGAGGTCAAGGCAGCTGTGAGAAGACTTCTAAAAAAATCTTTCTAACATTTCATATACGAAAACCGAATAGAATTGAAATAAATAGTATATGTATATTAAAGTGAACTATCTGATGTTAGGTTCTGCAAGATGCCTTACTTGACACAAATTCTTTTCTTAAGTTGTTCGAGTCAGATTTCTTTTCTTGGAATGATACCATTTTGGTTCTGTTCACAAAAAGTTGATGGATAATCCTCTTATCTAAAAATTTTTCAAACTAAAACATTTACGGTATCAAAGATAGTATCTTAGACATTTCTGGCTCTAACTACCTTAATCCATCTTTCTATAACTAAATTCTATTTGTCCACTATCATTCCAGAAAAGCTGTTCATCAGTCTCCCAAAATCCTTACCACTCCCTTATTCACTCTTCTTAGCAAAGAATCTAATGCGGAAATGAGCGCAAGTCAGTGCCAGACAACTCACTCTCATAAATAAATTTTAAACTCGGGGAGAGATTCGGAGGTAAGATATTCTATTTTTAGCACTCCGACAGCCATCCAAGTACCTCTCTGGTACGACCAGTGGAGCTATCCTAGGTTCTGTCCATTCGAGTCAGATTTGTAAATATGAATCACAATAAAGCACATGCTTAGATATGTGTAAAATTCCAGACACTGTGTGAAGCATTTTGCAAATATTACCCATCTAAATACCACAAGAATTGTTTTTGGTAATTACTAAGATACCCATGTTGCACCATGTAGCTCTATGTCGGAGAGCGACTTCATGGAGATGAAATTTGGAACCAATTTAGCTTTTCCCAGCGCTTGTTTTCTTCACGACTTTGACACATTGACTCTCTCCAGGAAATTCGTCCCCAGCTACACAGTATTTGAATTCACCTTTTGCTTTACTTTTCACTAATTACCATCACACTTAATTTTAGTTTATATAATCATTTTCAAATTATTATTCATATTTTGTCATAAATTTGTAATTTAAAAATTGGTGTAGCAATTTATGAGACTTTTGTTTTAGACATACAATCCTATGCCCTTATAGGGTTTTATTATTGTTGTTTTACTTTGATTTAAGTCAGAATTAGATTTTGTCATTTGTAAAGAAAGGATGAAAAATATGCATTTGAGCAATGAGATATCATCTGACACCACAGAGACTGGCTCACATCAAAAAAAAAAAAAAAAAACAAGAACAGCCAATGCTGGAGAGGATGCAGGGAGAACGGGTCTCTCATTCATTGTTGGTGGGATGCCTACTGGTCTACCTTCTTTGGAAAACAATATGGACATTTCTCAAAAAATTAGAAATCGGGCTTCCACTTGACACAGCAATACAAGTATATTCCAGGGAATATGCTCCAGGACCCCAAAAATACACTGCAGAAAGACCATCTGCACTTCTATGTTCGTGGAAGCTCTATGTACAATAGCCAGAATCTGGAAACAACCCAAGTGCCTGAGAACAGATGACTGGTTAAAGAAACTTTGGTACATCTACACAATGGAATACTATGCAGCCACCAGTAAAATGTAGTCATAAAATTTGCTTATAAATGGATGGACCTGGAGAGTATCATGCTGAGTGAAATGAGTCACAAGGAGAAGGCCAGACAAAGAATGATAGCACTCATTTATGAGACATAAGAAGACATAGTGTGAAACTAATACCCAAGGAAGAGTAGAAACCAGGCCAGGAGGGCTGGTTCATGGTTGGAAGCCGACCCCAGGCAGTAAAGGGAGAGAGCAGTTAGAATGAAGAAGGGACCACTATGTTGAAAATGATCACTCTAGATAAGAACTGCATGCTGAAAGTAGGCAAAGGAACAAACATGATAACCTTTCAATGTCTGCACTGCAAACCGTAATGCCTCAAAGGAGAGAGAAATTGTGAGAGAGAAAGTTCTGTCATGGAGGCAGGAGAGAAGGGAGAGGTGACGGAGGGAGGGAAACTGAGAAACTGGGGATATTGGTGGTGGGAAATGTACACCGATGAAGGGGCAGGTATTGGAACATTGAATGACTGAATCAAATCATGAGCATCTTTGTAATTGTGTATCTTCATGGTGTTTCAATGAAAATGTAAATACATTTAAATTTTTAAAGTAAAATCAATAAATGGGCAACAAAAAAGAGGAAAATGTGTGTTTTCAATGTAGGCACATTTAATAGACACTACAAATAGTACATTTTTTAACCCTGCTTCAAACTATTTGTAGATTTACCAAATGTCTCCAGCAATGATAGAACCCTATGTCAAGAGATTCCCAGCTAAACCTCAATGCTAAACACACATCCCTATCATTCAGTCCTAGTGATATTGCAGAAATGGAAGAACATTGGATACCTGAAGACAGAGACCAAATATGTGAATATCACAACCAAATATGAGTGACTCTCTTTATGACAACAACAATAGCAACAAAGGGAAGGGATGGAGGAAAAGAATAAAATGTTTCCTTTGCAACAATATGCATGGAACCAGGGAGGGCCGTTCTAAGTGAGATACCCAAGGCGAAGGGCAAATGCCCTATGGTCTTACTCATTTATAGGACACAATGAAACTGAGCAAGTGAACAGACAAAACCAAAACTAAGCAAAACTAAAACCTTAGATTCAGGGTGCAGAAGTGAGGCAACTAGAAAGAAAAGAGGAAAGGGGAAATGAGGAAAAGACGTGGGGAAGAAATTTTGTGAATTGTGATGGAATAGTATTGGTATGAGGCGGTGGTCAACATGGGGTGACGTACAATTTGAAGAGGCGTAAAGCTGTATCCCTAAAACATATGCACTAGTAGAAGCTAGTATTATCTTTTAAATATATAATTTTTTAAAAATACAGAATTTCAGAGAATTCCTCTCATAAGGTTTAGTTAGAGCATTGAGGTAAAAGATATTTAGGAGAGGCATATGAGTAGAATTATCATAGATCGAAATTCATTCTTTCTGAAATTATCTTTTAGCTTTTGCTTATGTACAAAGTCCATCTTTCATCCCTCTTCACATTCACTACCCATAAACTCAAAGATCAAGAATATTTTTAACATGCTCTCTACTTTTTCAAGAACATTAGTTCCTTCAGATAATTTTTATGCAATAACTGTGTTTCAAAAATGTGAATTATGGGGAAAAAGAGTCTCCTGCCCCCGCGCGTGGCTGTCCTCACCAGGGCCCCTTGGAGGGGGGCAGGTTGAGTTTCCGTCCCTGCCCCGTACAGAACCCCGGCAGCTGAAGACCTCCAGAACCTGCCACAGCCATGCCGAGACCACTCTCCACACATCTGGAAAAGCCTCATGCATGAAGGAACCGGCAGAGGAACCCAGGCATGCAGGTCCCGGGGCTGAGATCTCCAAGCCTGCTCGGAGGGACTGGGCCTTCTCCACCCAGATCCCCCATCTTCCAGTAGGTAGGCGTTACACCCACCAGCTGCTGCCAGCGCCAGGTGGTTCCCATCAACGACCAAGACCCAGAGTCTATAAAACCCAGCTTCCAGAAGAGAACAGCACAGAGTCTCCTGCCCCTGCACCTGGCTGTCCTCGCCGGGGCCACGTGACATCTTATCTCATTTTTACTTTGGAGAACTCAGCAGGCTACCGAAAGTTTCCTGTCCGCATAGCAGAGTCTGGCAAACTTCCTGTGTCGTACTCAATATGCCAAATACCAGTGACAATGTTAGGTCTCATTCGCCTAGCCCCGAAGAGCATTGAATATGGCTCTTTTAAAACCTCAGGGCTAGGAAGAAGGAGACATTACTGGTGCCTGCTCAAGGCAATTGATGAACAACAGGATGATCGTGATCATGATCGTGTTGGGGAAAAAAGCTAAGAAAATTTCTAGGATTATTCTCACCCAGGGCTAACCAGTGCCAAAGTAGTGAGAAGTAATTTTAAGTAGAAGATTCTTCCTTATGAAGACAGATCTTCTTTTCTGGTAAGATTACAAAAAAAAAAAAAGGGTCTTCTTTTTTTTCCCCTTTTTTGGGTCACACCCAGTGATACTTAGGGGTTATTCCTGGATCTGCATCCAGGAATTACTCTTAGTGGTACTTGGGGAACAATTTGGGATGCCAGACATTGAACCCTAGCAGCCACATGCAAAGCACACACCCTACGTACTGTCCTATCTACCGCTCTCGTTCTGCCCCTGTTGGACTTTTTTCCTATATTATCATAAGTTCACAGTACAGCCAAGGCTAGCATTGTGATGGTTGCTCAAACGTTCTAAAATATTTCATCTGTCAGAAACAGAGCTTCCTTTGTATAGAAGTGTCCTTTGGGGATGGAAGGGAAATGTTTCATTTGTCAAGGCTCAGCAATTTTCAATGATGAAAATTTTTTTAATGAAGTTCACATTCAAATTTGGTTATATTATTAGATATATTTTGAACTTTCAAATACATTGATAATTAAGTTATATTAAGTTCTGGAAAAATTGTGGTAGTGAAATTAAATAGAAATTAAATATTTCTCTTTTAGCTTGTTGAACCATTTCCATAGTACTAATAACTGGTTTAATAATTGATCAATATAAAAAAAATAATTGATCAATCTAACTTACATTCTGATTGTTTCATCTAAAATAAGTAAAAGTGATTTTTATTTCCCATTTCAATTTTAGATGTAATCATTTAAACATTAAATTCACTGGCCAGGACTTCTAGTTAAAACAACTTCTCGTAGGAATCAGTGAGGATGTTTCTAATGCTTCAGCATTACAGATGATGCTGACTCTGTTTTAATCAATAGTCAACTTATTATATGACCTCTCTTCTAACTATATTTCGCTAGCAATAGATTAAAATTATATATTTTCTGTTTCTGGTGAGGATCAGGATATTTTCTTTTGTGTCTATCACTATAAAAGTTACATAATAAATGTCAAAAAATTGTTTGAAATGATCATATGGTTCTATTATTTAATTGTTAAGAATAACATATCAGTATTTTATGTTAAAGAATTGCTGCATCTGAGACTACTGATGGAAGGAAAAAGATACTGGTGACGGGACTGGTGCTGAAACATAGGTTATCTAAAATCCAGCTATG